AAAAAAGATAATGTTGGGTTGGCCTGACCAAGCATGGCGGCCAACCCCTAAATAAAGAGCATCATTGCGAGAGTGTGAGCCTCGACCTTCAAACTTCTAAACTCATACATAAAATTGCAGGAAATAAAAGTCCTAGAACGATCTATGATCTCATGGACACCATAACTAGCTGAGCTTCCTTTCTCGCTGGCCTCCACCACTACCTTGCAATTTGACGCCACATGAATCTGTTGAACATAGAGGTCCTCAACTAAAGCCATGAGTTCATGAATGGACGGTGCTTCGAGGGTGGGAGGATCAACTATGGCACCAAAAAATACCGCAGACACTCCTAGAAAATTACTTTCACGGTCCCTGCAAACTACTCCCATGCACCATAAGCAACACTGTGATGCTGCCGCGTCAACGTTGAATTTGGTCATGTTTGGCGTGGAGTAAACCAGCGATCTAGCCGCTGTATCACTGGTCTCATTGTCGTGGTTGTCGGCGCATGAATATTTTTAGCCTGGATATTGATGTGCATCATTGATCTCGTTGTCGTGGCTGACCTCCGGGAAATATACCATCTTTAGAATTCCCGGCGCTAAGTGAGAGAGGCTCTTTTAGCATCTGCCAAGCTTGGTGGGATAAAAGTGCTATGCCGAAAAATCTCCATATCCATCACAGTCTACCCTATGGCGCCTAGGGGCTATGGGGCTCACCAGGTGTGGGTCAAGGTCTCTAGGGATCCTTCTCGTCTTAAATATCCTGAAACTATTTTTTCTAGATTTTTGGGGACATATTTTAGGGTATTTTCCTACAAATACAGAACACTAGAAAATAGAAACTCACACTGGGCACTAGATTAATATATTAGTCCAAATCCGATAAAAAAATATGCCCAAAGTGTTTATAATTGATACCAATATAGCATGAATCATAGAAAAAATATCAATATATTTGAGACCTATCACAGTGTTGGTTCTTTTCCTTGGCCGTGTAGATGATGAAGAAATCAATAGTGTCTGGTCGTGAGGAAGTTGCTGCCGCTAGCGGTGGCTGGACCCTAATACAGATGTGTAGGCCTAGATCCTGTCGTGGTGCCCCTCGAGGCGGGATCGGTGGCTAGGATCATTTCACGAGGTGTGTGGGAGAACCAAGTGAATGTTCCTTGCTCCATGGATGATGCATGCGGGTGTCGCGTCCCTCCCGGGCACTGCTAAGGCAAACCTCCCTCCCCATGTCCATGCTCCCAATGAAAACTCATGCATGTGGTGACGAACGTCATGATGGTGGCGAGTGTCGTCGTTACGCTCAGGGGGAGGGGGGGCTCACTGGGGGAGTATATAATCTCCGAATGGCAGTGCGGTACACTCGTCGGGCTAGCATGGACTGTGACACCATGCATCTCGGGCTCCATCTTTTTGGCAGCCTTGTTTGTTCCTCTCATATACATGTGGCCCTATGGTCTGGGCTCTTGGTACCCTCTGCTCGCTGGCAAGATCGGTGGTCCTTGATACGAACTGAGAGGGCGGAAGGCCCTTTCCACGGCAGTTCATTGGGAAGGTGGTGATGGAGTGTGGCGGTTTCTTCTAGGAGCCACAATTTATTTGCGTTCGGTTCCCTCGGCTGCACCTTATTTTGCATTCATGCTGCTCATGTGCTCTTGCTTGGCGGCAAGCTAGCGGCGCCCTCTGGTGCATTTTTTGTGTATTGGTGTTGTTGCTTTTCGTGTTTTGTCTAATTATTATTTGACCAGTTAAGAGAGTTTCCTCAAAAACTTGTAATGTTTGATCATGCAATTTTATCTATAAAATGGTGTGTGAGCCTACTTCGAAAGATAAAGCGGGCCAAAGCCGGAGTTTAACTTATTCACACAACCAAACACATATGTAATATATTCCCTAGCATTTAACGCCCCCTTTGCTTCTAGAGCTAGTCTAACATCTAGCGGTCCTCTCTTCCTTTTGATTGTAGTCTGGTAGCTGATGCTGAATATGAAAGCTCCCGGTGGTGCTTACAAATAAGCCACATCAGAATTAACTTAATCAATCTCAAGGGAACGCTCATATTTTGAAATGGCAGTAGCAAACTATTCTTTCCCTGAACTAAGTCGTACAGTGGAACATTTTATTTATTTATAGAAAAGCATCACCATTGAGGATGCAACTTAAAGGGCACACTAATTAGTTGAAACTTCAATTCCAAAACAAATGCCCGCCACCTAATCCTCAGGCACCAGCAAATTATTAAGCTCCACTAACCTGTGGCTTAAGTGCTAATGTCACGGTCAGATACGTGCATTGCTAGGTTTAGTCTAGCCATAGCCAAGATACGCATATCACAGGAACAAGGGCAACACGTTGGTTGGCGTTCCTGAAAAGGGGAAGAAAAAAAAGGAGGGCAACACATTGGTTGTCCACCACGTTGTTTAGCCGGATGGAGGCCAACGGGGCCTCGAAAGTGAGGCGCAAGCTAAGAACCAAAATCAAAAGGGAGAAAGAAAGGCGTGGTACTAGAAGAAAGGAAGCAACCGTAGATTTTGTAAGGTTTATAATTATATCACACCATTTTATAATCATTTGCTAAACTATGCGTACAAATATTATTTGCAAAGTTGCTCACCGGCGACTATGGAAGTGATGTATGTATCGTACTCCCTTCGTTCGTTTTTATAAGGTAATTTAAACAACTGGTTTTGAACTGTTTAGAGCACTGTCTGAACAGACTTAAACATCTTACATAAGTAAATAGAGGGAGTAATTTTCTTAGTGTTTGGTGAAACATGACAATAATCTAGTGTCACTTTCAACTTTGTGTTTCAAAGATACCGTCTCTAAATTAGAATGAATTTTACTTATTTTGATTGAATTATCGGTGTGTATGCAGCCCTTTCATGTGAGTTCTAGCAAAGAGGGGTGCGTCGAGTCCGTTTCTCCTTCCCCGATCCTAGAAAACCGTTCGCATGTTACTTTCCCAGTGAGACCACAACCTATGAATTGGAGGAGAGTAATTAACCGCTAAGTATGGCGAGCTCCATGGTTATCCACGAGAGAAATGTTTAATGCCCTTTTCTTCTAAATAGGAGGGATTATATATATAGTAGTACGCAATAAATACCATGATATCGCATCCTAAAACACAGCAAACGGATAATAACACTGGCTCATCGGAGTGAGAATACAAACTAGTCCAAAAAATAGATTTTTGGAACCATAACAAATGGCCAAGGACCCGAGCATAAACTACCACTGATTATGAGAAGATACCAAAAGGGATTTGACATTTGGAAAGCCACCTCCATTTTCTCGTCGTCACCGACGGCCCACCGGTAAATCCACCGTATGCAAGCAGCAGGGCGCATCAGCATTAGATAAAAATGGGTCAGACGAGGCGAAGGAAGGAGGAGCAAACCTGAAGCGAGAAATGAAATGGGTTCCAACCAACCCCAGGCCACGCGACCCACGACAGGCGGCCAACCGGGGAGGGGCAATCTCGTCCGCCCGCGCACGGAAATCAAAGCAGGATTCCTCTCATTTCATTTCATGGCAACAAAAACAAGCCAGACACACTGCCTGCCTCCTCTCCTCTCCTCTCCACCCGTCCTCCTCCTCTCTCTCTCTTATTCCCCTCCCGGAGCGCGAGCGCAGACCAGGAGAGGAGGAACAGGAGAGAGAGAGAGAGGGAGCCCTAGCCCTGCCCCGGCGCCCCGTCGCTAGGGTTAGGGTCTCCCCCCCAGTTTCCCGCCCTCCCTTCGTCGCCTCGTCCCGTCTCACGATCCGCCCGCCGGCGCCCTGCGGCGTGTGCGCTTTTCGGCCTCGCCGGCCCGGCCCGGCGCCAGCAAATGCCGTGTGTCTGACCGTGGTGATTCGGAGGTGGGCTTGGTGTTGTTGTTGTCGTTGCCGCCCGTACGGCACAGGGGAACCGAGGAGATTCCGGGCGAGATCCGGTGAGCGGCGAGATGCAGCAGGATCAGCGCAAGAAGGTGGGCTCCTTCCCAGAGATCCCTAGCATTTTTGCGTGCGTGAATTCCGCTCCAGTCGAGCTGGTTGATGCAGCTCAGCTGCTCCTTTGCCTTGTTTTTTTTTTTATTATTTCGAGGCAATGCTTTGCCTTGTTTGGGGTCTCTGTCCGTTCAAGCCTTCGTTTTCCCTTTCTGTTCGGCACTGTTTCTTGTTTCTGTTCTGGGCATCACTCCCATAGATTTGACGTTCCGCCGCCGTATCACTATTCTCATTTCAGTGCCGTGTCAATCCGGATGTTTGAATTTATTTTTATTCCCACAAGGGTAGGTATTTTTTGGCAGTATTTTCGTTAGCCGTCCACGATCTTTTCCCTCTGTAACCTGAATCTCTAATATGATCATGTCGGTCCTTCTCGCTTTCATCTTCTTGTCCCATGCATTTTCCGCACTCCCGTCGCATCGCATTGAGTTATGCGGCAGTCTTGCTTCTATATTTGGGAAAAAAGGTGTAATTTGGCGCTCCTTTACTATAACAGTTCGCAATTCACATGCAAAAGTTGACCGCGTTCTGTGACCTCGAGAGGCTGCCCGCGCAAACACATTGTGGCCGTTGCTTTTCCTTGTCGGTGGGCAAAGCTGTTGGCTTTTCTTGTGGGGTTCTCTTCTCCCCGATCTGTGCACGAGCACTTGACTCACAAGTGGTGCGTGTCACGATTTCAGTTTCGCAACCAACGCTTCAAGATCTTTCTCCTCAAGAAAATTTCTTTGATCTACCTGCACAACAGTTGAATTTGGCATCTATTCCTTAATACTGGTTGTAGCTTCCCAATGATTAGTTATTTTACATGTCGTCCATTAAAAGTATCTGGAGATATGCCATCATTTTTGCGACCCACCACCTACCGTGCCATTTCTGCTTTTGCTTGACAGCGTGACATCAATTGTTTGTATATACGTATATGATTGCGAGAACTGATGGTCCATTGATCACTCAAGCTTCTTGTCGCCGGGAGCTTCTGACGAGCTTCCAGTGCTAGATTTGTGAAATGTATTTGACATGATATCTGCAATTCTTTTCCAGAGTTCCGCAGAGGCAGAGTTTTTTACGGAGTACGGCGACGCAAGTCGATACAAGATTCAGGAAATCGTTGGAAAGGGCAGCTACGGTGTCGTGTGCTCCGCAATAGATGTCCACACCGGAGAGAAAGTGGCGATAAAAAAGATACATGATATCTTTGAGCACATATCTGATGCTGCACGGATTCTCCGTGAGATCAAGCTTCTGAGGCTCTTAAGACATCCTGACATTGTTGAGATCAAGCATATTATGTTACCTCCATCGAGACGAGACTTCAAAGATATTTATGTCGTTTTTGAGCTCATGGAGTCTGATCTCCACCAGGTTATAAAGGCTAATGATGACTTGACAAAGGAGCATTACCAATTCTTTCTTTACCAATTACTCCGGGCTCTGAAGTACATTCACACTGGTAGGTAACATACCGATTTATCTTTCTCGAAGATCATATGTCGCTGGACCATACAGTAAATTTGCTCTGTGGTGAGCTTGTATCAGGTCACCACCTTCTAGTTAGATATACTAGCTAAATAAACCCGAACGCTTATAGTTGGTGCAGTATGTACGGTATTGTTAGCATATACAAATAATTTGCATATGGCATATATTAGATTAGCTGAAGTTCTTGAGTTCAAAGCAAAAAAAATCTGTACCAACTAGTGCCATACTGGTTGGGTAGGGAAGATAGGTGATAAACATATGGCCATCACCTGAATTCCAAATATGCTCAGAAACAGCAAATTATCTCAATCGTAGGCATTAGGGGGTGAACAACAGGATAGATTTTCTTTCATAGAGTGCGGGTTGTTTCCTCATGATTTAAAGATTTTATTACGCAATTTCCTGATAACTTACATATTTGCTGGTTCAAATGGTATACCTGTGTGGTGGTAGTCTTTTCAACAACCAAAAAGGAGTATCTCCACAGTTCTTTCCATGAACAAAATCTGTATAAATAACATGTCCAGTCGTGCTCCTTTTGCTGCCTGCACCCATTGCTAATCCTATGACCATATGTAACTGCAGCTAATGTTTATCACCGGGACCTAAAGCCAAAGAATATATTGGCAAATTCCAACTGCAAACTGAAGATTTGTGATTTTGGATTGGCACGAGTTGCATTCAACGATACCCCTACAACAATCTTTTGGACGGTATGTTCAAGGAATACCTATATTCTGCCATCCTTACATTTCCGACTTGTTTGATTTGAGCTAATCATCATGATGTCTATTTGTTCAATTGCACTACAGGATTATGTTGCGACAAGATGGTATAGAGCTCCAGAGCTCTGTGGTTCCTTCTTTTCAAAGGTAAGCTTCCCTCCGTTATTAGCATTCTCTTGGTTGAATTTTGGTTAAAGCACTCTGCTGACAGCTTGACATAACGAAAGACTAATGGTGCTGCGTTGACATACCATGCATCTTTCGTTACAATTAATCAACCTATTAATACAAATCGTTGTTCTTCGGTGATTGGTCCATTAGTTTTGTTCCAAGCTTATTTATGCTGTGGCATGAAACCTCATTTCCATACAGATCTTAGGGCATCTCCAACGGCAACCCGCAAATTTCCTCCCGCATCCGTCCGCGGACTGGTAAACATGACGGATTTCATACAAACACGACGGATTTTCATCACATTTCTAACATTTAGAACAAAAGGAAAAAGAGCCGACCCTAAACCTATCCTACGGCGGCGGCGTCCGGCGTCCAAGCCCTTGTCATCCTCCATCCGCGTCTTCATGAGCACCGGCGATAAGAGCGATGAATTTAGTTGCGGTCTCTGACGAGGAAGAGTAGAACACGGGAGACGGAGTGGCCCACATGGGACACAAGGCCCTGCCGCCTCCAGTGCCCTACTGATCCTCGGAGGAGTCTGCGCCTTGTCCGTTGCCGGTGGACGTGAGGTCTACGATGGAAATGGTGATGCCCGCGCTATCGTCGTCCCACCGGGTCGTCGGATAGATCATCGGCGGAGCAGCTGGCGTTGTTCTCCTCCGCGATCACCTGGAGCTGTGCCTCGGCGGCGGCCGCTTCCTGGAGAGCGGCGGCTTGAGCGCGGACGGCATCGTAGATGACACGCTGCTCCGCGACGAAGTTGGGGTTCGTCGCAGCCATGGCCGCCATGGCCTCCTCGCTCGCACGCTCGCCGTAGATCTGGCCCTCCGCCAGCCGGTGCTGCTCCAGAAAGAACATGTTGTACCACTGATAGAGGCAAAGGTGTCCCATCTTTTGATGAGATGGTGAATATCGTTTCGGAGGAGTAGACTTTCACGATCCGACTACGAACGTGCGAGGACGTCGTGCCTTAGCAATCGCTAAATCAACTCCGAGAGGTTATTGACCACGCTGGAGCATGATCAACGTGACCACAAAGGTCTATTTCCTGCAAGCAAACGAAGAACAAGCAAGAAACTAAGATTGCAAATCTGGATATTGCGAATATAAGATGAAAGCTTTATTGATCAAGGTGGGGTTCTGTGACGCCTTGGTCTGGTCGTTGAACACAAACGAAGTACGCGAAGTTGCAGCTATGGCGAATTTTTAATCTAAACAAAACCCAAAGTCTAAACGACGCCCTAAGGGCTGTATATATGGATGAAGAGGGGGGAATTTCGTGGCCCTTGTAGGAGGGGTCCGAAACCAACCCTATCTCTTGTTTCCCCACACATACGGACTCTAAAACAGCCTATACTTATGTGTTTCGAAATTACATGGGCCTGGCCCAATAATAAGGTGACGCAGCACCTATAATAGCCTCTGGACGAAATTTGTGAAGTGGCATCTTGTATATTTCGTCCAAGACTTCATGCACTCATTACGGTGGCTTCAAAGTCCTGAAATCATCACTTGAAACTCCGTTCTTGTTTCCTTGCGCATGCCATCATCTCCATGCTTGTTCTTGCTCCAATGTTCATCCTTCTCCAAGCTAGGCCCTTCATTTGTAAGCAAAACAAATGTATCCAATTTAGGCAGCATCATATTCTCATGAACATTAGAATCATTACCAAGAAACGGAAGTACCTGGTAATTTAACCGGCGTGCACGAGCTCTAGTAATTGGTCCAGTATGTATAGTAGCAGGGGCTGTGGGTGTAACAATGGTATTGATGTCCTCATCAACCACTGTTCCTCCTGCACCTGCTGGAACGCCGACAAAGGCGTCGGTGCAGGCTGTACCTTTGGGTGTGGAGTTAGCCGGGTGTGGCCGCCTTTATATAGCGGATTCCGGTGAGGCAAGGTGTCCGGGTGCGTCAATGCGCGTCGCCGGAGTCTCGGCTGGCGAGCCTGCTTAATGGCGGCATACGGATGGACAGCGGCATTGAACGGGTGTGGTAGATATCCGTCCCGTCCAGTCACGCATCCCCGGCATTGAACAGGTGCGGACATCGGAGACGCATCGCGGGCGGCGCCCTCGGCCAGCACGGCCGCTTCAATGACGGAGGCAGTGAGAGGTCGCGTCCGCCCTGAGCCGTCTTCAATGTTAAGCGGAGCGCTCTACAGCGGCATGAATGCGGGCAGCTGGCGCCGGGCGGGAACGTGCGCGGGCGAGGGAGGAGGGGTTTTGGTGGGCCAAGGCGGTCAGAAGAGGGCGTGGGATCGGTCTGGACTCCCGCAAAGTCCCCCCACGTTTGTCTCCGGTTTGCTGGAGAGAAAATCGCGTCCGGACCGCTCCGCGGACCAATACAGGTTGCGGGAGGTTTGAGGGTTGCCGTTGGAGATGCCCTTATAGGGATATTTTATGGGAGCACGACACCTTCTATTGAAACAAGCTCTGCTTCTTTGTGAAAAGCTAATTTAATTCATAAACCATCACTTTGACTTTCCCCACCGTCATAATCATATGTTTGTTGTTTCCTTATCACATTGTTGATCATGCATTAAGTGCTCAAACATGAAGTTGCTCCATTTTTATGTAAATTTATGCTACATAGAATTTTGACTTCGTATCGTTCTCGGTAGGAGCTGTTAAAAATCATATGAGTTACATTTGTGTTGAGACTTGTGAAAGCATCTCAGACATTGTTATATTTGATTGTTCTCAATGAACATTATCATGATGCGGTACTGATAAACAAATAACTTGTTACTCATGCATGTTTTTTTCTAACATAAATGCTATGTTAACAAAATTGCAGTATACACCCGCCATTGATGTCTGGAGCATCGGGTGCATCTTTGCTGAGGTCTTGACAGGAAAACCTTTGTTTCCTGGTAAAAATGTTGTACATCAGTTAGATTTGATGACTGATCTTTTGGGCACACCATCTATGGATACAATCTCTCGGGTATAGTTCTTGTTTTATTTGGGAATCCTTCTATAGTCTATTTGGTCGGTTATCCAATTGACATTAATAGGTTCTTCCTTTCCAGGTCCGGAATGAGAAAGCAAGGAGGTATCTGAGCAGCATGAGAAAGAAAGAGCTGATTTCATTTTCGCATAAATTTCCCAATGCAGATCCTTTGGCCTTAGACCTGTTGCAAAGGCTTTTAGCGTTTGATCCAAAGGACCGCCCAACTGCTGAAGAGGTACATTGCTAGTGTTTTTACAGCCCTGCTTATGTTGGTAGCAGTGTCTTGTACTCTCGAGTTATTGAGGTGCATAAAGTGACATTATTTGGAAACTTGTGATTTCTGTCAGGCATTGTCTCATCCGTACTTTAAAGGGCTTGCCAAGGTTGAGAGAGAACCATCCTGCCAACCAATCACAAAAATGGAGTTTGAGTTTGAGCGTAGAAGAGTGACAAAAGAAGACATAAGGGAGCTTATATTTCGTGAGATATTGGAATACCATCCACAATTGCTCAAAGACTACACCAATGGCACTGAAAGGACAACCTTTCTATACCCAAGGTCTGAGCAATAATATCTTTGGAATTAGATGGTGCTTTTGCACATGCTTTCACCTTTTTTTCATTGTATCTTTGCAGTCTACTGACTGGGACACTTCTCTACCTATGTTTATGCAGTGCTGTTGATCAATTTAGGAAGCAGTTTGCTCATCTTGAAGAAAATAGTGAGAATGGCCCTGTAGTTCCAATGGATAGAAAGCACACCTCTCTTCCTAGGTAACCTTTCACGTTCCATGATATTTCTTTCTCTACCTTTATTATATTAGCGGCAGGAGTTCAGAACAGCTAAAAGGCACACATCAGAGCTTAATACATTGGTCAGGGTCACAGTTTGGAACTTAGGCACACCGTCATTTGTCACACTTCACCTTGTCTAGTGATAATGTTGTCTTCATATGGTTTGACAAGAAGGTGAAACGAGCCTATGTTAATATGATACAATGAATACATTGGCCACACTTTAACTCCGATGACAATGTTATCTTAATATGCTTTCACAAGAAGGTGAAATGAGCCAATGTTGACATGACATAATGAATAACATTTTGGATTTCAATGTCTGTAGCTAGAGCTGGGCAAAAATTAAACTGAATTATTGGGTTTTTCAATTGGCAGCTGAAAGTTCGGTTTGTAGAATTGACTAACCGAACTAGTGCAGTCAAATTCAGTTTTAAGTCGCGGTTAACTGAAAATCCAAAGAAAACCACCGTGTAGGGCTTAGGCCAAGTAATAGTCATGGCCCAAGGCCTCCTGTGAGATGCATTTTGGCATCTCGCTGAGACTAGGGCACATGCAGCCACACACATCATGCCTGCATGCCATGAACAGCCGAACCAAACACTGCCATCTCCCTCACGCCGCTAGCGCTAGGACCTAGGACCACACCGCCACGCTCGCATCCCGCCTCTGAGCAAAGGCTGATGGAGGGATCCCTGGCACACCGTGATGCCCCACTGCTGACCGGCCGCTGTTGTAAAATCCATATTGCTAAAACAGTGATAAAAATATGGCAAAATATGTTAATAAAGTGAAATCGTAACGACCACTATGTTAATGGAACAGTTCCTAACCAAATAGCGAGCATAAAATTTGGGCCATGTCAGAGTTGGCTTCATGCAACTGAATGTGGATTGTAGAACATTGAAGTCAACTTTCCTATGTACTGTTAGGCTGGTCGGCCAAATTGACATGCCAGGAGATGATACACACTTCAAATTGCCCACTACCTGGCTGGACATTTAGTTCTTGCGAACTGATTCATGAAACATTTGTTAATGTTTTTACAGGTCTACTATTGTTCACTCAGCTCCAATTCATGGAAAGGAACAACCCCGTATTGGCCCATCAAGGGATAAGCCTTCGCCTGACGAGTCTTATAAAAATCATCGAGATTCAGAAAAATATTCTGGCAATGTCCAGAGAACCTCACAGGCTCCACAAAGAGTGCCAACAGGTGCTTTCTAGTCCATGCTTGATATACGTGCTTAGCTGGTACTAGTTTTAATCTAATCATATAATGCTTGTCAATTATACAGCAAGACCAGGAAGGGTTGTTGGTCCAGTTCTGCCTTACGAAAATGGTGGCATGAAGGATACATATGACCCACGAAGAGTGGCAGCAATGAGCTCAGGTTATCCTCCCCAACAGCAAATCCCGCAAATATACGGTTATTATCAGACACCGGCAAAGTCAGCTTGCTCTGAGCCATCGCAGGCCGAAATGTATACGCTGCACCAGCAGGCCTATGCTTGCGCAAACAGTTCAACTGTGCCTGATGTTGCTCTGGACATGAGAGCACCTCCGTTCCATCAATCAGCAGGGCCGAAAAGGGGTTCTTCTGATAGGCTATCAGCGGAATCAAACCTATACTCGAGATCCCTTAATGGCATGGCTCCAACTACAACAGGAGTGGCGGCAAGTGCTCACAGGAAGGTCGGCGTTGTTCCCTACGGTATGTCGCAGATGTATTAGTGGCCAGTCAGGCGCATCCGACATGCCATCCTGGAGTGCGGCTGGTGGCTAACGAAACAGCGAGGAACGAAGTGGCGGATTAAGCTTGGGTGGGGATGCCGCAAGGTTTACAGCGCAGGGCAGCCCATGGTTTGATGCTTATGTGTGCTGTCTGATCTGGAAGCGTGTGAAGCTCTTCGTTCTGTTCCGGGCCATCAGCTTGTTGTATCTGCCTGTGTGCACACTGGATGGGGGTGGGTAGTCAGTCCAGTGGCTTGTAATCTGAGCTATTTAGGCGCCGGTTACTTTTTCTAGGGCGAGGAGACAGAAGGGGAAGGAAGGAATGCTAACCCGTTTTCTGTTGTAGAGATGTTTGTCATCAATGTGCAACTTCAGAAAGATATATATAAACTTATAAAGGACACTTTTGCTGCAGGTGATAATTGCCACCACGTAGTCGAATCAGTGGCTTCTGGTTTTAAACACGGCAAACGCAGATGATCATTTCCTGTTTGCCTTTTGGGGGGGAAACGGCAATTTCATCTTAGCTCGCTGAAACGCAATGTTGCGCAAACCCTGAGTTTTCGTCGCCAAGAGTACAGTCCCTAGTCTTAGCTCGCTGCCCCTTTGCTAGGAAGCATTTTGATGGTGGTGAAGAGATCGCTTCACAAGGGCATGGAGATTGGTTTTCTATCTACTCCCTCCATTCCTACTGTGACTCTGAAAAATGCCACTGGAAATGGCATTTTTCAAAGTTTGCAAATTGCAGTGGCGTTTCTCGGAATCGTCAGAATTCAAGTGACATTTATCAAATTAACCTATGAAAGAAAGAAATAATAACAGTGAGGCAGTCTTATCCCACTTCTAGCCGCACACATACTCCAAAGCATGTGTGTCAGGCGCTATTCCAGAAATAAAATGGAAATTTACGATTGTTCTACAACCAGGATAGAGATTTAGGGAGAATTTTGTGTAGGTGAAAGCTTCAGGCATAGTCAGCTACTCTGTGCTGCTTGAGAGGTCCCTTTGAGCAAAAACTGGATTCAGATCACTTTATTCAATACTACTCCCTCCGTTCCAAAATAGATGACCCAACTTTATACTAGCTTTAGTACAAAGTTGGGTCATCTATTTTGGAACGGAGGGAGTATAATTTATGTACACAGACCTGCCACACAGAAAACCCGAGCAATACTACGTATACAAGCCATGGCGACATGCAGTTTATGCTTGCTATCTGTAACAGCCAACATAACATAAATGGGTGAATGCTGATCCTATACCTAATTTCCCAGGACGGAGTTCGCTGACACTGTGGCAGGCTCAGGCTCAGGCTCAGTGCATGATAATGATGCATCTTAAGTCTAATCCTGCTGGACTTTGCCATGAAAAGTCTTTGAGATTAGTGGCCTTACGTCCTCGGCATCAACAAGGGTCTCGAGGAACGGGAGTAACTCAACCAGTTCCTGGTCCGCGGGGTCGTCAAACCAGCTCTTTATCGGGATGCCATTATCGACTTGCAACTGGAAAACCTGAAACAAGAGAGGTTTCAGCTATAATGCATCCATAAGAGTGTTCAGGAGTTGTGAAGCCCTCATGAAGAGAGCGATTCTAGCTGTTAAAAGTTTTGATTTGATTCAAAAGGAAGCAACTAAGATACCTGCAGGTCACATGCCTAGATAATATAGCTACTAGACTGAAAACTACAAACAGAAAGTAGAAACACTGAGAACTGGGCACTAGCTCATGGCTGGAGTTCAAGGTGCTGAACCCGCCCACCTGCATTCGAGTCCGCTATGCGGACTTCGCTGCGGTGCTATCCGCGCTAATTCGCGGAAAGGTCGCACTTCTATACAGTGGGCAGTTAAGGAGGGATCCTTCCCCCTTTAGCCAACGTTTTCAAAGGAGAAACATTTCTGCCTGTCGAGATAAAACATATTTTGGAAGGAATGTTACCTGTGGCGTATTGTCAATTATAGCAACTTTTGCCAAGTGGACTCCTAGAATTGTCAGGTCTTTTGTATAGCTGCCATCAGAGAATATACACGACTCACGATAAATTCGTTGCGAGATCAATTTCCCATCAGGGTCAAGCCTATCTATTATCTGCTCAGCATAGATTCTCTGACTTGCTGTGAAAATGACAAGCTCAAACATCTGAGCTACCTTCTCAAGGAACATCTTCAGGTAGGGCCTTTGTGTCACATGAACTGTATGGTCTTTCATATTGAAGAAAACTTGAATGCTGAAATCAGATATGTCACAGTGATCCAATGTTGAATGGACAAGAGTCTCTGCATATGAAAAATGGTTAAACCATCTTAAAAAAAATAGCAATCGTAGTAAGAATGCTGACATCACAACTGAATTTTGCAATGCTGAAGATAATGCGCTAATGCATGACCTAAAATAAAAAACTGAAAATTTATGACACCACAAAGAAAAAGAAAACCATTCACAGTGAACTGGATGATCAAAGATTTCAAAGGAAACAGAAATTTGGATCCATTTTATCCAACATATTGATGGGGCTTGCGGGGATTGCTTTAAACAATCCTAATCATAGGAGAGCATAATCAAATCCCCATGGTTTAATTACAGCCGATGTAGTCTGAATATCTATGAACTTTGCTTCCTAAGTCACAGTTACTAGAAGAAAGAAAACTTCAGAAGTATAATTGAATGACGTGAACACATCGCCTGCTTACCATCCAAATCAAGTACAAGAGTGACATGCTTCGTTCTCACTGGTGATTTTCGTAGACGATTGGATGAGTCAACATCCATTAAATCAGGCAGACCTCTAGAATGAAGCTTTTCATTTGAAGGTAGACCTCTAGGAATTGAATCGACATACTCAATTCCTATCACATCCTGAGAGGCAGAAGTACTTTCGATTTCTGAATCTGGTGGTTTCATTTGAAGGTACAAGGATGTGTCATCTGGGTCCATTCTACTGTGGTCGACCAGAGCCTTATTGGCTGCATTATTTGGTTCCTCTGTCTCATTGAGAGACAGGAGTGCCACAGGCCGCTCTACCAAGTCAGCAATATTCATATAATCATGAGAGGAAGTACTGACATCACTTGTAAAACCCATTATACTATCAAATTGTACATCAGAAAAACTTTCTGAGAAGTAGAAGTCCAGAACATCCCAAACTTGTAGTTCGCTTGAAGTATTGTAGCCTTCATCATTGCCACTAAGAATCAGCTGAAGGAACTCGGTGCTTTCCTCCATTGCTGCAATGACAGAACAAGGAGAATATCAGCACATTCAGATACCACATAGTGAGATAAAGAACAGGATAACATGATAAAGGGAAGCAGCTAAATACGTATATACTTGAACATATAGTCCAATACAACACTGGAAAGGCTGAAATATGAAGCCTAAAATTAAAATACTACAGTAAGTCAGCAGCTTAAAACATTGGAAGAGTTGAAAGTCAGGCCATATTACCTGTAGCATTGTAGTTCACATCTTTCAACTGAATATCACTGTACATTGGATTAGGTGTTAGGATGGTTTCAAGGCCAGATGATGACGGAACTGATACTGGAACCTACAAATATTAAAGTAGTAGTTGAATAATCCATACTGCAGAGTTCATAACTTGACATAAGTAGCAGTATCTCTAGGCAGATGAAATCGATAAATAAAGCAAAGATGGAATCGTTTTGTTAGATTTTTACAAAGGTAGCTGATAATCATTGTCTAAGTACAGTAACTTAAACTGAGATAGCTCATAGTGTCTAAGCGGATTGCAGAAAACAACCACAGCTAAGGAGAATGGGTTTATTTCCAGTCCCAGTCACTGAACTGTTATGGTTTCATCACTTCATCCCATGTTACAGGTTTATAGTTCCTTAATTTATAATTCCAAACATATAATTGGATTTGAAAATTTTAAGCCACCGCATTCTTGATTTCCCAATGTAACATAAGCAGAACATGTATTGATTTTTTTATCAGCTCAACAGTATTTAGTATTTAATTTCTGACAAGTGTATTTAGTGATGACTATTAAGCAAAGAAATAGGACATTTTGCTTATTAACATGAAGATAAAAAGAACGACGAAGATTCATCTAATTCCAAAGTAAAGCTAACACGTAAATTCCAAATATAGTTCTTGAGTGAAGTAGCTACAAGATGTAAAACCAACCGTTGTGGTAATTTGCTGATAATCCTTACAACTGGCAGGGGTCCTAGATCGACATACTTTTTCAACAGGACCACAATGCCAGATATGAGCCTACGCAATATCAAAAAGATATGAACCTAAGCAGTTGCTTCTGAGAAATAGGGGAAATCAACCAAATGATGATAAGTTATGATGTGTGATTGTCTTATCAGAGACCAGAAACAGAAGTATGTTTTTTAATCAGGAACTAAAATTATTAAACGAACTAGAAGGTTAATCACCATAGATCGAGGACCACATGACAAGAATGACACTGGCAGTAAACCGGTAGCTGATGTGTCAGATTCACCATGCAACAAGCTGACTTCAGCCATTCCAATGTCTCCTGCTGATACTGCGGCAATAGAGTGGACTGCAAACAAATAATAAATTAAATTGTAACACTTCGGCAGTAGAGCGGACTGCAAACAAATAATAATTAAATTGCAACTCATAAACTCACTGCTGTCTTTGAGAGAACATACATCCATATGCTACAAATTAATGGTAGTAATAACGTCATATGCATATCCCAAAGTTGAATTATAGAGCAATGAAATATCTGGCCGTTCTAAAACAGAAGGTAAATTTGACAACTTGATGCTGGGGAGAGACTGGCGTATATATGAACATTCTGATCTTTGAGCTCAGCACACAACATAAGCAACAACCTCTTATCGCTTGCAGTATTTCGTTTCTGCAGAAGGTTTGTTACATAGACTTGGAACTTAGCAGTAGTGTTTATTGTTTAGCAGCCAGAGTATAAAGAGGTTAATGCTAGATACACTCATGCAGTATAAAAGTACAACAAGGAACAAAAACTACCATCCGATTTC